CTGCTTCAGAGAGTGAGACAGTGTCCTCCTCTGCAGCAGGGGGGGATCCAAAGAGAGCAGAGGAGAGGAGAGCCTTTGTTTATCTTATTAAGGAGGACACCACGGACTTTCCCGTGTGCCTTTAACGCAGCCTGTATGATCCCAAAATGATCAGATTCTCCCCCCAATCATACTGACTCAGATCTGTAAGCAGCAATAGTCCCTTCAGCATGTCCTGGGTATCCCTTTAGGAGTCCTCCCGGTTGGACATGTTGGAAAAACATCACAAGGGAGGCTTCGAGTCTTCTCAACTAGCTCCTCTCGATGTGGAGGATCAGTGGATCTACTCCGAAACTGTCCCAGATGACTGAGCTTCTCACCTCATTTCTAAGGGAGAGCCCAGACACCCTGACAAATATTTTAAGTTGTATATTTCTACCTAAATTCGTAACTATGAAGGTTAATTAACAAACTTCTGCTATGGGTTGTTAATGCTGCTGAAAAACCAGCATATGTTGTGTTTTGGATGCTGGTCCAAAGTGCAATGATAGTCCAGCATGGGATGCTGGTTATAGGATGCTGGAAACCCGTGCCAAACCACCATCTCATCTTGGACCAACCAGCAATCCCATCCTGAGTTGTTCGTTGAAAACTGACTGAAAGTATTATTTTACAAACCATTCAGTTTAGCTGTTTAATTTAGCAGGATTCATCAATCTTGGAAGATGCTCCTGGCTAAACCATCACCAAATCACAACATATGCTGGTTAGTGTTGGTTTTTTCAACAGGGATATTATACATGCTAGCTCTTTGCTGAGGAATCAATGCTATCAACCTAAGCAGAGTTATCAATTCGGAAACAAAAAAGATAACCTACATGATAACACTGTTGAGCTAGCATCATCATTCACCTACTCAAAGCAGAAGCTTATAAATATAGGTAGACACATACTATTTAAAACGTTTGTCTTTATTTGAATGTGGCCTCTTAACCCTCCCACTGTCCTAATGGGTGTGACCCCGCGAGGAAAGTTGACCATTGAGCAGGATTGATGGTTTATCCCTTGAAGTCCACATGGCAGGGGTGAGGAATGGGCACCACCTCACCCCTGTCATGTGGACTTCAAGGGATAAACCATCAATCCTGCTCAATGGTCAACTTTCCTCGCGGGGTCACCCATAAAGACAGTGGGAGGGTTAAATATGGCCTGGATTATCCACCCCCTATGGATGAGCCACCACTGAATGTTGGTCACTGATAACCAAAGATCAAAGTTAGCCTAAGCTACTGCTATTGATAGCCTGAGGTTTGTTATCACTAGCTAGATTCATTGTTGACACCCTTGAATGCCAGATAGATCCACAGCTTGTGGTCATTGTCCTTAACACTGTAACTCTTGTTCATCCCATCTGTCCACTCGCCACCATCCTTACCCCCACTCCACCCTGCGGGCATCTGTCAGATGGACACTCACTACATAGCCAATCAGAATGCAGCTCATTTGATATTCGTTTCCTGGCTGATTGGGCGGGGCAAACCAGTCTTTCTATTGAAGGGCTTTATTATGGGGTTGTGCTTCGGCATTTATCCTAAATGTTGTGCTTGGTTATTCTGCTATTTCTCTTGTCCTGTCGATTCTGCAGCATCGGACCTATACCATCAAAGCAGGGAAACAAGGTGCAGCAATTCCTCTGGTACTGTGCGATACAATGGGGCTGGAGGAAAATGATGATACTGGTTTGAACATTGATGACTTGTTCAAAATCTTCAAGAGCCACATCAAGGATCGCTACCAGGTCTTTAAATGTCTCCTCTGTTATCTCATCTGAGTTGTTTGTTGAAAACCGACAGACACTAAAGTATTATTTCATGAACCGTTCAGTTTAGCTCCCATTCATCAATCCTGGAAGATGCTCTGGCTATAAGAGGCATGCCACTCTGAGTGAAAAGTGTAGCGTTATGAATATCATAATTGTCTGCCCTTAACAGCTGCCCCTTTACACAGTAACAACGTGTAGGAATCGCCAAGGTCGGGTGCTGGTTTCAGAATGTTTACATTCCAGAAGAAGAAGAAGAAGAAGAACAGAAGAACGCTTTTAATTAATTAAAGTACTTTATTTGTGATAAAGCTAGTCAAAACATATGTTGATCAATAATAATCAGGTGAATGATCTGTGAAATAAAGATGTCATGAGTTATGTGTTTAATGAATAAACAGGACTGCACCAGACAGACTGATCTACATTAACATGGAAACGCATGACACATTGTTCTCAGCCAATCAGAACTTTCGTCTGTCGTAGGGCAGAATCTGGGTTGTTTAATGAAGTTGTCCAATCCGGTTTACTAAGATTTATAAACAACTAGGGGGTATAAAACAAGGCAACGCCATTTTAAACTCAGTTCCATTTTAACCTCAGTTCTGTTCAGTTGGAGGTCCTAAGGAGTTCCATCGTCATCATTAAGAAAGTTGCAGGCTGGTCAGCTGCACTTTCCTACTTTAAGCTGAGAACTGTCAAGCTGGAGATTTCAGTCGTTTGAACAACAAGACGACGTCCCTTCAAAATAAAAGCTGAACTCGCTGACGCCTGCCGCTGCCGACTCGCAGACGGGCTTTGTAGTGCTGCGATCGCTGTTTCACCAGCTCCAGCACATCTGAAGGTCCGAGGACCTGGCATTTCCTGATTTAACACGGGAGGCTCCATACGGTACGTGGTCACGGCAAAATGGCTGCTCATGTCATCAGCTTCTGAAGCCTCGTGGTTCCTAGTCATAACAACCAGATCCGCTACGTCAGCCTAGAGATTCTGAACCACACACACACACACACACACCAACACGAAACATCCAAATCCATATGCATCCATCACGGAGTTAGTCCTGGTAGATTGTAAGAATTTATAATTATAGAAATTAAAGATTCTTAAACAATCCCAACTCTCTCTTTGCTTGTCTCTCAGTCAATACAGAGTGTTCAAGTAAACTCCCTGATGATAAAAACAACCACTTCTGATTATGATATTTAGATCTAATTACAGTGTATAAATACACAAACTACAGATCACTACAAAAGATTCACTGCATAGCTTACGTGGTCGATGCCTGCAAGGTGTCTCTCCTCAGTGACAACATGGTGAAAAAGTTCAGAGCCATCTGGCAGAAGGCCAACCAGATGGGTTAGTTGTAAAAGATTCAGAAGTATCTATTATTTCTCTAAATTTAGAAAATGTACATTGATTAACTACCTGCATGTATAACTGTGCTGTTTATTCCACAAATGCATAATCCTCACAAGTTATTAATCACTGCAAAGGTTATTAACTAGTGTTTCTTACATTATAGGATATATTACTGAAGCATTTAAATTTATGATACAGATGGACTAATTATCAGAATTTAGTCTATTTACTCTCACTTCTTCTCTTTTTCTGTTTCCTGACAGGAATTCCTCAGGTGCTGCTGATGACCAAAGTCGATGAAGCCTGTCCACTTGTGGCAAATGACTTGAGGAATGTGTATAACAGTGTTTACATCCAGAAGAAGGTGCACTTTTAGAGCTATGTTCTGTGAAAAACTACAGCAAGGAGCTGGAGCTGCACCAGGACATGGACATCCTGCTGTTCATGGCCTTGGAGCAGATGCTCAACTATGCAGGCAACTTTTTTGAGAATCAAATCCCAGATTTTCAAGATGACGGCGATGATCTGGAACTCTACCGATCCAATGATCGTGCCCGTCGAGTTTTATCAGTGCGTAGTGCACAGGAAGTTGTTTAGATTATTGGCATGAGCCTCCTGGTCAGTCAGTTTCAGGGTTGGTCAGTATTTCTGAAGGTTTTTCAATACAAATTTCTGTTCAGAGTTTGACAGCTTTCAGTGGAATGTTTAATTCTAATCTATAAATAATCCAGGCATTAAAAAGGCTTCATAGCCCAAAAGGTGAAGGGATGTCTTGTCTACAAATGGATCTTTCTTCTTTCTTACCAGTAGCCTATCAAAAGGACACATATTGTGTCCAATTTCTTTGGTGAATTTAGTTCAATAAAACCTATAATAACAGTTTGACATTTATCAAACTATATTTTAGCTAAAAACTGGACGTGTCTTTGATTGGGCTCTTTTCTTTGCTGAGAATACCTATAAATAAAGAGACAAGATATTCTTTGGGTCATACACTTCTTTTGTCCTCCACTTATCCTCTTTTATCATTTTATTTCCACACTGTTATGATGTCATGCCCAGGGACAAAAAATAATAGAAACATGGGAGAAAATTGCTTTAATCAAAATTAAATCCTTCAAAAATAACTGGAGAACCATGGATCTGCACCACTCTGCACACGACTATGACTCATTGAAAAAAACTGTGCTTGAAACAGATGTTTGATGCATCATAAGAAACAACACCAAAACAAAGTGCAGTGAAACACCGCGAAGGTCTGTGATCACCGCTGATGATTTTACCCAGGCATGTCTGAAAACTGTGTTCCACATTTTCTTCCACCAAGTCGATTGTACAACAAGGGGAAATAACATCTTGTGCCAAAGAGCTCCAGAAGTGCATCCTCGTGTCATTCCTATTATGTTTTAGGTAGCACGGAACAGGGAATTGTAATAATTATATTGGTTTTTTTTTCAATTCTGTTTATTTGTTTCCATAATTCAGCTACTTTATCTAAAATAAAGTTCTAACTGTGTTTTCATGCATTGTCTATTTGTCAAAAGTATGAAATTACCTTCATTTTCTTGGTCAACCACTAGATGTCAGACATCAGACTGTTTATTTATTTCTGAAAACTGTTATGAAAACGTTTTTATTGCAGTTTTCATTTGATCACTCACATTAATCACTCGCAGCTAAAATCCAACGAATGAACTCATAATTAGTATTGATTTTGTGACGTCATTAAAAAACCAAAACTTTGCATGACTCAATCAGAGGCTGTGTTGCTGCAGAACCAATGAGAAAAGCCGAGTGGTTTCGGGTCCGCCCTCCACCCCAGCCTCCTTATAAAACGTGTTTCGCAACTCTCCACCAGCAAATCCTGCAAACACGCCTGCAGAGATCAGCTGTGCATTAAGGAGCTTTAAGCTACCGGGCTGAGATTCATTCCTGATTCCTCAGCATGATTCCTGGAGAAAAATTCGGCTCTACCGAGAGCAGGTGAGTGTTCTGTTTTCGTTTTGCTATGCGTTAGTTGGAGAGATCAGTTTGTTCCGTGCGTAAGGACGTCCTGTGCTGGACTGGAATGCATCTCCTCCAGTGACCCAGCTTTACCTGCAGGCTGATTGAATTAAACCTGTCCTTTGCGAGCTTTTTGCACTTGAATCAACACTTCTGGAAAATTCAAGCAGTAAAAGCACAACTCCGAGTATTGCTGCATGGATTTTTCAATTTTTGCAGACATTTGCAATGGAGTTTAAATGCATGTTGCACAACATGCAAAAGTTTAAAACTTTTTACTTGTTTATAAATATTAAAGCAATAAATCCAATGTTGCATTTAGATAAAAGGTGCACAAACTACACAAAATTGTGGATGAAAAATGAGTAAAAACTTAGATTGTTTTTTCCAGGTTTAATTGGATTAACTGTTGTTTTAATCCTCAGGATGCAGACTGCTACCCTGGCTCTGGAGGAGTTGTTGGTAACAGCCCAGAAACAAGACTGCCTGACTGTTGGCATTTATGAATCAGCAACACTCCTAAATGTGTGAGTTAAAACTTTTAATTACATATCAGTGTTGAGCAAACACTTCCAGATTATTTGTGTGGGAATCTGTTTGGGTACAAGTTGCTTTGGTTCTCCTAATGTTCTCGTTTTCTTCTCAGAGATCCAGACAATGTAGTTCTGTGTGTCCTGGCAGCCGACGACGAGAACGACGTGGCCGTGCAGATCCACTTCACGCTGCTGCAGTCCTTCTGCTGCGACACAGGCATCAACATCCTGCGTGTCTCCGGGGTGCAGCGGCTGCGGCAGCTCCTGGGAGGTGACGATCCCAACAGAAACCAGGTGGAGAGCGGGGACCTCCACTGCATGCTGGTTACGGTGAGTTAGCGAAGCCTTTTAATGAAGCATTAACATTTGCAACCTAATTTGTCTTGTTTGGATATCTAATTTTTTTCACTTCTGATCCTTCTTTTTTCCCTGTCGTCTTGCAGAACCCTAAAGTGGATCATTACAGACTACAGGAAGTGGGCACCTACTGCCAGGAGAGTCGGCAACTCCACCAGTGGGTGCCAGAACTGGTTCTGCAGGAACGCTGAAGCAAACCCTCAGAACTTTTCTTGACCAGATACTAATAAAGTGAAGGATCTTGATGCTGGAGCATCCACAGCCTTGAGTGGACTCGTTCTGCTCCAACGTTCAGGCTGTCAGCAAACAGGAGCCAGGACCACCCATTTTCAGTCGCCATGAAAAAGTTGGAGAACAAAAACTAAGCTTCTAATATTAGCGTCTGTCTGGAACATGATGGACATAAATCATTTAACAGAAGCAGTGACTGATAGTAATTTGTTCACACCCAGCTCATACCTGGGAGATATGTGTGCTTACTGTCTGGACAGGAATGTTGTAACAGTGAAACTACTGTACACCCAACATTCCTGAGTGTCCGGATTTGGGAGAGTCTCTGCAGAGGTGTGTGTGTGGTGTGCATGCACAGTATTTGTATCTTTCTTTAGAAAAGAATGGGTGTGCAGCGAAAGCCTTCTTTTGCGATGAGCAGCTGAACCTGTGGAGGAGTGGTCTCCATGGAAACTGAAATGGAAATCATAACAACACCCAGGACTTTCTGGAATTGCAAAACCAAAAACCTGCAAAAAAAAAAAAAAACATGGAATAAACATGCTCAGGACATAACGTGTTTATATTTGATGCTAAATACAGGAGGATGCAGAATGACTTGTGTTCTGGTGTAACAAGTCTGTCATGAAGAAAACCCACCAAGCCTTTAAAAATGTTGCCTTCTTTGATAACACAAGTGGTTTTGTTTATTTATTGTATTAGTTTTGCAACTGTTTGTGGTCTGTTACTTGTTTTTTCTAATTTATTAAATTTTCAGATTGTGTAACGAGGCCCTCTGCTCTTATTTCTAAACAGCCACATGCGTCATGGAACCAGCAGTGTTATGTAACACGTTTACATTAGCATTAATGATAAATATGAGTGCTCTTTAGGGCAAAGGGCTTTTTCACCTGGAAAATCTCCTGCGTTGTAGTAAAAGGTGAAACCTGGGTGGAGACAAAAACTCTTTGTACCAGATGTAAACAGGCAAAGCAAGCTGATGCAGACTAACTGTCCCTACAGGAAGTTACAGGAATGCATTCCTCCTGTCAAAACTTCTCATTCCTCTTAAGGAGTGCAGAATATGCTTGCCTGCATTTTTAAAACTTAACTTTGTTTTTACTGCAGATTTGTACTTGCATGCAAATGTGGACGAGGGAACTCCACACTAATCTCAGTCCCTACCCTCTCACGTGTCTGTCCACCTCTCTGGCTGCAGAGGGACGCTCAGGCACATGGGTCGTCCGTTTGTTTACAATTTGCTGCTCAGAGGCGTAGCCGGCGTGGGCGCCGACTTCTTACTCACTGTGATTCATCCCCCTTGAATCTCTTGTAGCTGTATTTATTCAGTGATCAGGGGAGAATCAAGGTTTAAAATTTGAAAGGAGCTTGAGAACGTTGAAGCAGAGCTTAAAAGAGCTCAGGAAGACCTCGAGACAGCAGAGTTGTGACAATGACATTCCTGATGGGAGGCTCCACCTGGCTCTGGACTTTGTTTCTTGTGTTTGGTGCAGCAATTTCCTGTCTTTGCACTGCACGTCATGTACTCATTTGTCTGGTGTGCATGTGATCTATAGGTCTCCATGAAAAAGACAGAATGTTCTGCTGAGACAAAGCATGATGTAAAGTCCCAATAAGTGCTGAGATTTCAAATCATGTAGTCATCAATACATTCGGGGTAAAACGATCCAACACCAGTTTGTGTTATATCATCTTTTTATTAATGTCATCTACTTCTCAATATCGTTTTAACAGCAATATCCACAAAATATTAACAGTGTGCAAGAAAACATGAGTTATGGCACATCAGAGAACAGTTACAAAAAATAGATTTTTTTTTCCATAATCGATCAAGGCGAAAAAGATTACATATACTGATGCATACACAGGAGATCAGAACACAAAAAATGAGTGGGGTGAGTGACGTCTGACATGAAAGTCCATGAGTTGGGAGTTTCAATGCTCCTCAGCAGGCCAGAAACGTATCGGATTTGTCGGAACACCAGTAGATCATTGTGAGCCACTTTAAGACTGACCAGTTCAGTTCTGAATATTCCACTACGAGCATTAACACAATACACTACGCCACAATAAGGCAAGCTAACAATCAGATAAACTGCCTGCCAAACCAGAAATTCAGGCTGGCCGTCTTTGATTGTAGCCCGAGCTAGAATGGAATGATTTAAAGAAAAAATAAGACATGTTCACATCAGTGTGTGTGGGTGTGTGTGTAGATATGATATGGATGCATGCTCGTCTTGTCACACCAATGCAACTCCCAACTGTTTTTTCTAACATGTACAAAGAAATACCTAGGAACGTCATTTCCCTTCGTGACAAATAGCAAACTGCATTTCCTCAATCCTGCTTCAGAGGAAAACGTAGCGTCTTTGCCACGTCGCTCGACTGCACTGAAATTCCCGACATATTGCTTTTCCTGCACAAATAGACCAAATCAGGTATAAATATTTGTAAATAAATATATGGAATATTTGAGACATTTTATTCAAAACCCAAGTGCTGGGCTGCCAGCGTCTGAAAACAGAATTTCATCAGTAAAAATGATGATTTATGCCGTTTTTATTGGATGATGTGAAACTAACAAGTTAAGTTACCAGGATTATAGTTTACTAGAATAGATTTTTACTAACTAAGATTATAAGATTCTTTTAAAAATAATAATAGCTTATTGTTAATTTAATAGGAAAAGCATCGTTTTAGTTTTAAATCTGGGACATTTCCTCATTTTAAGGCACGATTAGCGACCTTAAATGACCGGTAAAAACAACTTTCAGCTAACTAAATGCAGCTGAGACCAAAATCACAGAGCAGGCTGGAAAGTGACACTTTAGATTCATCAGTGAATATTTTTAGGTTATTAGTCATCTCATTATAAAATCTATCCCCACATCCCCAAACTTTGCACAAAAGCCCGTCTGACTCATAAACAAATTACCGTCCGTGTGGTCGAGCTGACCGTGACCTAGAACTGCAGAGCCACAGCGTGATTGTGACATTCTGCAGCGTCTCTCCCATAAATACACACGTGTGTGTGTGTGTGTGCGCCTCTGCTAAATCATTATTTTGAGCTCCTAAACAAAACACCTCCACTTTTTGGTACTTTAAAAATAATTTCTGCTCTTTTTCTTACTCCGATTTGGATAAAAGTGTCAGGACCACCTAGATATGAGGAGGCGCGACCCTCTCACAGTCATCTAAAATCTTGGGACATACAAAAATCAGCGCTGGGTCAAATCGACATCACAACATAGGAGCAGCAGTCTGTTACTAAACGGAGTCCAAATGGCACGATCTTTAGCTTTCCAAACAATGATCTGTATCATCTCTTAAAACCTGAAAAGCACCTTCAAGATAATTTATACGTCTGAAGTGTCCAAGTTGCTCAAAACAAGCCACCTAAAGAAAAGAAGAAAGGGCAGCACTGGTGTTAAAGGACAAATCAGGAGCTTGTTTTTTGTTTTTTTTTCTTGAATGAGGTCAGATGTTGATAAATCCCCCGATAAGACACAACCTCAAACCATTCAGCGTGTGTTTGTTTCTGACACGATCACCTCCGCTACAAGCCTCTCAAACCTCAAAAAGAGAAGAGGACAGACGCGATGTTGACAAAACGAGAAGAAGAGCAAAAAAGTCCAACATTCACAGAGGAGGGTCTTCCATGTTTAGATTTTGTATCTTACAAACGTTGCACAGGGTAATAATACTCAACTGACCAGGATCCATGGACTCCATCAAAAGGAGATAAACTTCAAAAATAAAGCCAAAACAGCTACTCTTCAACTTATCACTTCTGCACATCTGAAAGAAAGTTTATACACTCAGTTTGTTTCTCTTAATACCTTTTTTTTTCTTCTTCAATTTCAGTTTTTACAATCAAGTTTGGTTTGAGTGTTGTGGAGGAGAGGAGGACACAGACGGAGCGGGGCTGCAAGCTGATCTCATCCTCGACCGGCATCAACTCACATCAGAGTGAGGTTCTGCGTTCGTGGGTCTGGGATAAGTTTTCTTTTCGATAAAAAAAAGCTGACCTTGATATGTACCTTTTACATTTTCCTTCATCTCCTCCAGTCATGCAGCCTCTGCAGATGGACTCAAATGTGGGCCGATCTGTGAACTCACTCAGAATAAAGCACAGGGAGGTTAAAAGTACAGCCAGGTGAGACCCCTGACTCACCGCTAGATCTCGTCATTTCATTGGCACAAGTGTGAGAAAACTAAAAAGGTCAGTCAGGGGCAACACCCACTAGACGTCTGAGTAAAACAATAAAAATCAAAAGTACCTAACCAGCATAAAGTTCACAAATGAGAATTTCTTAAGAAAAAAAAGCCGTTAACGTCCACGGTTCATAGCTTGACTTCTTTGAGGAGCTGCGTTCTTCTCATAGGTGCAGATCTGGGGTCAGCTAAGACATCGATTTGAACCACAAGCAGCTATCACGATCCGCTGTGGGTCGATGACGCCAAATCAGCACCTAGAGGAGACCGTTTGTACAGGCTGGCACAGCTGGAGGTTCGGCTAAAAGCCAGGCAGCCATGGTGAGGCCACGGGCGGAGAGGGCCTGCTCTTACAGATGTTACAGATGTGGCTGGGGACATGCTGCAGTCTGACGCCTTTCTCAGACTCTTTTTATAAGTTACCACGGGAGGAAGATAGATATAAATGCAACACTAGGGTGGTGATTGGCTCAGCTGCGCCTACCACTTGTTTCGTTCGCCCACGTGCTCCGTCCCACCGCCTGCCTCAGCCACAGCTGCCCATGGCTCAGCCGACGCCTCGCTTCGTGAACCCAAAAAGATAAAGAAACAGCTGATTGTTAACGTCCAAATCCCTTTTTGTCAAGTCAAGCTGTACTTTTTTCACCAGCATATGTGAATAATACCAAAGCACCTTGAGCCATACTCTGTCATTAACGGATCTCAGCCACTGGGAGGAGATGCCTGCCCCTAGCTGTGGCTCTGGGGTATGGCACTGTTCCAGAGTGGATATTTGGTGTGCGTGTGTGTGTGTGTGTGTGTGTGTGTGTGTGTGTGTGTGTGTGTGTGTGTGTGTGTGTGTGTGTGTGTATGTGTGTGTGTGTGTGTGTGCGTAAAGAAAAAAGATGCAGGGTGCAGCTATAGGATGATGCAAGGCTTCTTGTCCTTGAAAGGGTTTTCAGAGGTGGGCACCCCGACCAGCAGAGGGTCGCTACGAGCGTGCTGCTCACAGTAGCTCATCAGGTCTGCTGCTGCTTTAGAAACCTGACAAGGCAGAGCGGTGGGGGGTGGGGGTTGTCAGGAAGAAGGAGAGGAAAATGAATTAGGATGAGAAAGGACAAAAAAAAAAGCTAAGCGATAAAAGAGCCAAATGAAGGGGCGGAAAAGCAAAAATCAACCTTTACCTTGATGCGTTCAATGCCTGCCTCGATCCTCAGCTGTTCCACCAGTTTCCTGGCCTGGGCGATATTATTAGTAGTGGACATATTGATCCATCAGAATACAGCAACACAGAAGAACACTGGAAAAGAAAGACAGTGAGATAAAATGTTAATGAAGAATCAGAATTTAGACAATAAAACAGAGATACGCCTGGTCAAGAGAGGTTTTCAGGGCAAGGTCTGCAGGATTTTTAGATGCCAATTTAAATTTTTATATTTAGTTTGGAGGGAAAATACAGTTTTCATCCCAGTCGTTTTTAAGTCAAGACTAAGGAGATATTCTTACCACCTCTTCTGCAAAATAAAGTTTGTAAAAAAATAATAAACTAAAATTAGGATGATAGAATTTGTACATAGTTTGCATTATCAATTAAATGAGATATCAAGTTAAGCTTTACTTTTTATTTGTATTTCTGTTACAAAAATAACTTGCTCTATGTTAGCATTTTGTAACTACAAAAAAAATGCAAAACTTTTATTTTGACAGTAATTTGCCACAAATATGTTATTTGATTAGGAGTCACACAGTGTGATGAAAGGTTGCAAAGTTGGAAGCAATTAGATGAAGAATCAAATCTAATTTAAGAAAAACTAAACTCTTTTTTCTAAATCTTATTGTGTAATGACAGGAAGCTGTGAATATGGCCAGTTTACATTTCATTCTACCTGGCCAAAAGAAAAAAAAGTAATTGGACCTCAGGCTTTATTTAGGGCACACATTCATTGTGGCATTGTTTCAATTAGCTTCTGCAAAGTCAATTTATCTCCATCCAGTGTTGCATTAATGTTTCACCAAGATCTTGCACTGATGATGGTAGAGTCTGACCGCTGCACAAAGCCTTCTCCAGCACATCCCAAAGATTCTCAATGGGGTTAAGGTCTGGACTCTGTGGTGGCCGATCCATGTGTGAAAATGATGTCTCATGCTCCCTGAACCACTCTTTCACTCTCCTGACATTGTCATCTTGGAATTTGCCCGTACCATCAGAGAAGATGTAATAACCTGGTCATTCAGTATAGTCTGGTAGTCAGCTGACCTCATTCTTGGAGCACATCCTGTTGCTGAACCTAGACCTGACCAACTGCAGCAACCCCAGATCATAGCACTGCCCCCACAGGCTTGTACAGTAGGCACTGCATGATGGGTGCATCACTTCATCTGCCTCTCTTCTTACCCTGATGCACCATCACTCTGGAACAGGGTCCATCTGGACTCATCAGACCAGTTTTTAATAATGTGTTTGGCCATTCTTAACGCAATTTTAGTTGTTTCTGCAACCTCCTTAGATGTTTTTTCTGCTTCTCAAACTGACTAATATCTTTTCCATGACCACCAGATGTGTCTTCCCACATAGTTGTTTAAGAAATGAGAAGTAACTCATTGCAACAGTTGGGGTTAAATAACTTGTTGCAGCTGATGATGATGACCTGGCCCTTAAACAAGACTCTAGCTCCAAGAATCGATAGCTTTGATAGATTGTTTATGTTTATTTATTTGACAGGCGCTTTTATCCAAAGCGACTTACAATCTATAACCTATAGGGCATGTTGTGATCTGTGGGGGAAACCGGAGTACCCGGTGGAAACCCACGCATGCATGGGGAGAACACGCAACTCCACGCAGAAAGGCCGCGGCCGAGCCGAGTTTCGAACCTGCAACCTTCGTGCTGCGAGGCAACAGTGCTAACCACTGCGTCACCATGCAGCCCAGAAGGGCTCTGAGAACCATTGACAACATCAAGTGGCCCTAGGGGGTCTCCAACCAAGTGCTAAGAGAACACACGCGCCTGCCCAGAGCATCTCGCCTGGCAGCGCAACGTCGCATCCGCTGGCTCGGCCATGTTCTCCGTTTTTCTTCTGACCATCCGACCAGAGCCATTCTGCAGTTTGACCTGAGGGCCGCAGGCTGGAGACGACCACGAAGTAAACCCCGCAGCAGATGGCTTGATGTCATTGTGGGTGACCTCCAACATTTCAGAGTTGCCATAGCGAATGCAGAGCAGCTGGCACAAAACCGCCAGCACTGGAAACAACTGCACCTAGTAGGCTCAACGCACTGGCGCAGGACGACAGTCGACCCTTCGCAGGAGCCTTGATGATGATGATGAGTAATTATCCAGTCGGAGGCTCGTACCCATTTGCTTAGTTTAATCCAAATGGTGACTTTCTTTTGGACGGGGAATGAACATCTGCTTAGCGAGTGTACATTCAGATGGAAAAGAAAAATATTTCTCTGTTTTTGATCAGCCAGTCACCAATCAAGCTTTTTTATTTGAGCCAGGCAGTGCATGATTATTTTCTGCAATAAACAGATATAATGAGTTCATAGGCAGCCATTCTGATATACTGCAATGATTTTTTTCCTATTGTCAGTTTAAATTCAAACATTCATCAGGTTTTTTGTCATTAATGGTCGGTAATAAAAAGCTACATGTGGCTTCAGAGCAGCAAGTTGACGACTTCTGACTTCAGCGTGTTTGTATTTTATTAAAATGTATTTACTATATATATGTTTAACTATGTGTACATTATTGCCTCCTGCAAAGAAGATGCTTTTGGTGTTCTTGTTCTACTTTCATCTTTGTTTCCATCACTTATGATTCATAACAGTAAGCAGCTGATTGGATGTCTGATGTTTTAAGTTGAGTGTCCTGATGTCTCATCTTTCTCTCCGTCTCCACCTCTTTACCATCTTTTGGAAACGTTATACAAATTTTAAAGATGAAACCAGGAATTATTTCCTAACAACTAAAATCCATAAATTATGGAAATAATCGCTTCAATGTTTTAATTTATTTTTAATTTTTTTGCAAAATGAGAAAAATTTCCTCATTTTATTCCATTTTGTGGTTCTTACACACAGAGTAGTAAAAGTTAGTTTTTTACTTTTCTGAGGTCACCAAACACCTGTGATGCTGTAACGAAGGTGACAGGTTGGAACCGATACGGTCAACCAGAAAGGTAAAAACAAAGCTTTTATTACTCTGCGTTTATAGAAGAACCAAAACATTTAATTGGAAAAGCAACAAAGAATGAGATTTCCTCATCTTTCTCTGATATTTTACAGAATTTGGACATTCCACGTAACAAAAGATAGGACTTTTACCAAACCTTTTTAGCAGAAAAATAAGTTTGTTTTTCAGTTTTTGATTGGGATTATTGAGCACTGGGATTAAGTGTAAACAACTCTTTGACTGGTAGATTAGTTTAATTGAAACAAGCATCTAAAAAAACAAAACAAATAAAATTTTAACTAAATCTGAGAATATTTGTGTAGCGCCAGTGCCCTGTACACTGGCACTATACCGGGTTGCTGTTGCGGGTGGTCTTTACGTGTGCTTTAAGAAATGCACAGAAATATGGCTCCTACAATTTGAGTAAAAACACATATATACATTATTGCTAATTTAATACATTTATGTTTTACATAATCATCCCATTGTATCCCTTATTTACTCAAATTATTAAACAAATGCAAAACAGAAACAATTTCCTTGATTTTTTTAAGGGGACAATGGCATAAAAATAGAAATAATCTGTGTGGAAACCATAATCCTAATTTTCTACTGGTCTTGGTATTACACTCATTTTCATAATAACACTTAACATAATAACAATAGGGCATAAATTGGGGAGCCATAGCAACTCTGTGAGGATGATGTGCAAAAAATTGTGAAACTTCGTGTTCAAAATGCAGATTATGGTGGAGAAAGCAAGTAAACCATGCGAGATTACAAATATGAACCAGATTATAGTGCTAGAGTTGAGTTGGACCCAGATAATGAGAGCAGCATTAGCAGAGTTTTACCTGACTGGCGCTGTGCAGACAGGACTTGCTCTGGACACTAACGTGAAACGATGGAGAACACAATCTGAGGGCTGCAGGCACGGCAGGACAACGGTACGGTGACAGAGCTGGACGGTGGCTGGGCTCACATCGGCTTGCCTGTGGAAGAGAAAGAACAATCAGAGTGATTTTTTTTAGTTTTTTGACTACAAAGATGCAGGACATCTACAAAGGGTGAACATTATACAATTATTAGGAGACAAGATTTTTAGCTGAACTACAATTTCCCCCATGAGTGTTTGATCAAAACACACCCATGCATCACTTACATTATACTATTAGTGTGTCTCAATCTGCCACTCTATCTGCTGCTGTGCTCTCAGGAGGAGAGTCCTGCTTTAATTACTCCTACTGTGGAGCAGATCAGAGGTGCACATCTGTAATTAAAGCTCCAGTCTCAATGAGAGAGAAGATTAGGACTTAAAAACATAAGAAATTTGCATAATTTTTTAAAAATGCTATGGTGACATCACTTTAATGTGCATTTAATTGACTTTAATTGAAGATATTTTTAAACATGCTCAAAAAGAGCCTGACTTATAGTACAAAAACATATTTTATTTACTGTTCTAGCACACTTTTTGTCCTTTCTTAATGTTGTTGCTGCTTGGACCATTGTGTGTCTAGAAAGCCAAAAATAAAAAATAAAAATAATAATAATTCGAGATGAAAATAAAAAATAACCCAACACTTAACCTCAATTATAACTGCAATATAAATTCTAACAGGTGGAAAACACACCTGTTCCAATCTCCATCCATGCCCTCACACACTAATCACTGCAAGCACATCACTGACAGCCACATGTTGCATTTTCTTAACGCAGCTTAGAAACCAGAGAACTCTTGTGTAACCATTGTTTACAGGCTGCCGCTGAATCTCAAGCAGAAGGAGAAATCATTTCCATGAAATTAGGCTCATAAATTCACTTCTCTTATTCCTGCAGCCTGTTGAATTTTCAAACTTTCAACCGTTTTCTGCAGCACATGCGATTTTTGCCTCACGATCCAAGCTGATCGGTCATTCCTCCCCTTCTTGCAGGCCAGACTTGGATTATTTCAAGAGGAAACCACATGAAGGTCCATAAAAACAACTCTAAAACGCAGGTTATATGAACAGATCTGGACAGGACCCCCTTCTGAGACCGTCCAGACGCGCAAAACTGCGTGAATCCTTATCGATCCCAGCCGCTGCCGGCGGCCGCTGATCGGGCCTACATGTCCTCTACTACAGGCCCCGCTCGCTGCTCTGCCGTGTGAAAACACAATGCGGGCATTTTGATGGATAGAACAGCGTGTCCTCTCTACCGTGGCTGTCCACGCACCAAACGCACACGCTAACATACACACGCACATCCGCACAGCGCGCAATAACGGCTAGACATGGTGCACATGTGAAAACCAGAACTATTTTCCCATGTGAAGAGAAGAGCAGACGAGACCGCTGCAAAGAGGCCCGGCCCGGATCGTGGGAGAAGGGTGGTGACATGTTCTGCTCCAGCAGCCGCTGGAATAATAAACCCAGCCGGGCGCGAGACCAGAGCGCGTGCGAAATGGGTTTCCGCTATGAGGCAAAATGACGGGCATACTTTAAAGAAATAAGATCCGGTGACTGTTGCTTGTGCGTCCTCAAGAGTCCAAAGCAGCTGTAGGAAATCATCAACTGACCCTGTCCCCGGTCCTCCCCACCTTCTCTGCCGGCTGAAGGGTTGGGGGAAATCCGTATCCGTGACACCGATGAAGCTATCTCTGCTGCAGTGACAAGAAACGGGACTCCCAGAGGCGCTCGAAGGCATTCCTTGTTAAACACACGAAGATGGGAAAAATAGCAGAATATCGCCAAACTCACCTCCGAATGCGCTACTTCGATGATTTAAAGGGCCAGATCCTCTGGTTTCTCACCCTCTCCGCTCCTGCTCGCTCCCCCTTCCGCCTCCCCCTCACCGAGTCTAACACCTCCCCCCCCGTTACAGCCTCAGCCTCTGCCTTAATCATGGTGTTCCTAAAACAGGATCGTGTCAAAAATAAACTGTAAAAATCAGTCCGAGGAGGATTTTAATAATTAAAACTAATAAAAACAATCTGAGTTTTGTGTTTTAAGATGCACACATGAGTAAACCAAAATATGCTGAATGAACTTTTCCTCAACATAAATTTCATGACTTTAGATTGTATGGGGCCCCGTTTACAAAAAGACATTTAAAAAATTAACAGGTAGCTTTAAAAATCATTACCGGTATATATGGCTAAAATATAACATATGGATGTAAGAAAATTTTGATACCAAAATATTGCTATTTTTGTGCTATAATACCAAATCAAGATTAAAAGGCAGTGGACTGTTGTTTTTATTAAGAACTACATGCTAACAATTACAATTTTTCTTTTGTTTGTTCCAATTCACATTTCAACAGCTAGGGGACAGCAGTTTTTACCACCTTCATTCGGATGGAACAACTGGTGCTGGGGGTAAATGATTATTCGGGCAATTCCTTTATCAAATAGCCGAGAGCTTATAGGAGTGCAGGCTGCTGAGCCTGAGGTGATTGAGGATGGAGTTTTGTTCTCCATGCTGCCATGGTCCCTCGCGAGCGTGTGGCGAGCGGTGTTACAACCCTTTCTGGGGAGTTTGGCTTGTGTACAAAAAGGATACCACAAGATTTAAAAGTTAAAATGATTATCAGGTTTATTTACAAAAAATAACTTGAATATATCAATAATCAAATAACTAAAGATGTCTCACTAAAACTGGGTAAAGATGATTAAGTACCAAAATAAGGATCTCAAAGGTACAAACTCAAAACTGGGTCGTTATACCAAACTCAAGGCGATATTTAAAACTAAATTAAAACCCACATCACTCTAAATGTAACCAAAAGGGAGATCTACTCCACGCAAAAGATCTCCTCTAAACTCTAAACCAAAACGTAACAGCTTGTCCAAACACAAGAAGCTGTTAGCAAAAACGCTAACAGTAGCTTTACCAACATTAAGCTAAAGCTACAAAGTTTAAATAAACCAAAAAGACTCAGCAAACAGACCAGCGCAAAGGAGAGACTATTACCACAAAAACAGCTATCCTCGAACATCTGAAAGAAGCTTCCTTATTAGGGGAGAAACGCTAATCCCGGTGATTCCCATGAGGCAGAAGTTAGCTTCCAATATGGGAAACGGCTAAAGGGCAAATCCAATTCTTCTCTACTCTGACCATCTTTAACCCCCCCCCCCCTGTCTTTATGGGTGACCCCGTGAGGAAAGCTGACCAATGAGCAGGATTGATGGTTTGTCCCTTGAGGTCCATGGCAGGGGTGAGGTGGTGCTCACCCCTCACCCCTGCCTCATGTACCCAAGGGATAAACCATCAACCCTGCTCAATGGTCAACTTTCCTCGCGGGGTCACACACATTAGGACAGTGGGAGGGTTGATCTGCTCTAGCACAAAGCCTACAACACCCACACTCTTCATACCTGTATGCAGGTGCGCAGATAGGGTGGGGGATGGGGTGGATCTGTCTCCCCCGGATTCAGATGACTCCGATCCGTCCCCCCCAACTAAGGCCAGAAAGAAAACAAAATCGGAGGTTAAGCGCTTGAAGCTGATTTTTCCAATTACACTGATTGCAGCATGACGAAAACAAACACCGACTCCAGAGGCGCCAAAGTGGTTGCTGCTAGGATGCAGGATGAAGCAAAAAAGGCAAGCAACGATTACTGCGTATTTAAAAAAAAACAACAATGTAAGTAGGCTGGACCGATCTGTCTGTTTATGCATGTTGGTTCTAGTTTCAGTACATTGTTGTCAGTGTTGGGACTTACTCGTTATGAGTGCCAAAGCGTCACTGCTGACTTTAACAAGTCTCGTCTACAAATATGATCCCTCATGAAGTTACTACTTTACATCAGAAGATAGTGGAGACGTGTAACCTTCAGGCTGAGCAAAGTTTGGGAGTTTTTAGAGTTTGAAAAACGCCTCCCGCCGCCGAGAGCTCCCAGTCAGGGAGAGGAGGAGATGCGCGCAACATGAAGAGCGCAAATATTAGATAAAACGTATAATTGCCAGCAGGTCTGGTCATTGTTGACTGATCACTTTGTCTGGTCATGACTGACTCTGATTATGAAGCAGATTATTGACTCTGATGAAGAAATTCACTCATCCAGCCGGGAAGATTGATGCTGCTGCAGCATCAGACAGCTGGTGCTGCACGAGAGGTGTGTGGAGTTTACAAGCTCCAAACGTTGGGTTTGATGTTTGTTTATCCTTCTTTGGGACGTGATGGATGTAGAAATGATGGTAAAAACACCGCAAACATGACAGACGTAGCGACAATGTAAAAAAAAAAACGTAAAAAGAGGCAGATGCCGATGCGTTATGTATGGAAGTCAAAGTGTGCCACATAATCATAAAATAAGTAAAATATAAAATTAAAAAAGAGATTTATATATTTATATATAAATAAAAACTTTCTAAATATAATGAAAATTTCTAAATGACGTAAAAATAAGAAGGAACATCTGTTGGTCAGGCTGAAAAGTTTGGGAACCACTGCTCTAAGTGATAATCGTTTTTTAAATATATTTTATGTGCAGTTTTTTAGGACTTTTATGTTTTTTGTAAAGATTGGTATGCTGAAAATCATTTAATGTTTTGCATAAAGCATGAGGTTTTGATTAGTACTTGATTGGGAGAATAACAAATGACTGATTTAAAAGTGGGGCGCCTCTGTCAGTGCGCCCCAGGGCAGCTGTGGCTACATCGTAGCTCATCACCATCAGTGTGTGAATGTGTGTGTGAATGGATGAATGATACACTGTAGTGTAAAGCGCTTTGGAGTCCTTACTCTGAGAGGCGCTATACAAGTGTGGATCATTTATCATTTATAGTGTTGATCAGGCAGAGCTTTGTTGCCAGCGTTCCACTGCATAATGGCTTCAAACACGTATAATAATGTTAGTTTTTACGTAAACCATTGGATGAAATTACACAAACTGACTGAGCTCTAGTTAAGGCGCTTGCAATAGTTTGTGTATGTGTATGTGTACGTGCGTGCGTGTGTGTGCGTGTGTGTGTGTGTGTGTGTGTGTGTGTGTGCATGTGTGTGTGTGTGTGTGCGTGTGCGTGCGTGCGTGCGTGTGAGTGTGTGTGTGTGTGTGTGTGTGTGTGTTTGGGGGAGGGTACATTGGAACTTTGTCCCCCCCCCCCCAGTTTGAAAATCCTATCTGCGCCCCTGCCTGTACTAGATAGCAGATTGCATAAAACATACTTTGTGATTTGTGAAACTTTTTCTGATGTGTGAAACGTCAATAAAACCAAATGCATGCATTTTTTAGCATCTAGTCCACACCGGAAGCGATCTAGTTAAAAAACTAGACACAATCCCACAATCTTCAAATCTGTACTAGATCATTCCAGGCTAATAGCAGATTCTAGTGTGGACAAGATGCTGGTGAAGGTTAGCCTGGCAACCCTATATCGTATGTGATTCACATATTTCAAAGTTTGTTGTAGCTGTATCTCTTTAGCAAGATTAGCATTCTGCAAAATAATCTGCAGTGTTAAATCTTTGAAGGGGTTTCTGCCTGCTCATGGATTATTTATGTACTTAAGTGTCAAATGGAATTTTTATTTAGTATAATTAATGTTGTATTATTATAGAATTGCTTGATATATTTGAAAGTTAATAATTGTCATGTTATCATTACCAATCAAATGTTTAAAATTTTAATAAATTTCAGTCTTTTGAATATTATTTAATGTGTTGGGTCTTAAAGTTAATAAATATATTATTTATCAAACTTTGTAATGCAAGACTTTGGTCTAGTTCACTAGGCTATGTGAAGGTGGAGAAGAGGGCACACACCTCTACAGCTCTAGGAACAACAGAATCTCATGATCACGCTGGATAGAAGCCTTTGGTCTGAGTTTTCCAATTGAATTCAGTCTAAACAGTTGCAAATATGGTCTCGGTTTTACAATTGCAATATGTCGTATTGTCTCTCCTGTATGGAGATATATATTGTATCACCAGATTCTTGCCCATAAACACCCCTAAATAGTTAATTTAACCACATTTAAATAAAACTTCTACAATTAAAAGCATCTATAATCAAATATTATTTAAATGTGTATAACTGAAATTGCACCAAGAATAAAATGCTCAATAGTAGCTGAAAGCAGCTTTTCCCTGATTGGTTCTGACCCAGGATTCTAGCTGATTGCTTCCTAAGGACCTCAGAGCCCTATTGGAGATACTGGTATATATATATATATATATATATATATATATATATATATATATATATATATATATATATATATATATATATATATATATATATATATATATATATATAAGATCCAACAGGTATTTTGACCCATATTGAAGGATTGACAAATTAGCAGTAGCACTTTGAAATTGATTCTGTAGTTTGCTAATAGCCAGTGTAGAGATTTAAGAACAGGAGTAAAGTCCTCAGTTTTCTTAGTTCTTGTGAAGACTCTAGCAGCAGCATTCTGAATACACTACAGCTGCTTCATAGATTTATTGGGAAGACCAGACAAAAAAACCATTGCAATATTCCTGCCTGCTGGAGAGGAATGGATGAATGAGTTTCTCTAGGTCTTGTCTGACATATGACCTCTGAGTTTTGCTAATTGATGAAGATGATAAAACACTGATTTAGTATAGCCTTAATGTGACTCAGCTCAGGTCTGAATGAATTATGACACCAATATTTCTAAGAAAAATTCTTCAGCTGGATCATAACTGGTTTTTCAATAATTGTCCCAATGAAAGGGACATTAGAGATTGGTCTGTACTTATTCATCACTAAGGATTTCTATTAAATCAATATTTAATTAGTATGATTTAAATAACATTTTAAGAAAATGCATTCCAGGGTTGAACTGAATTTATTACAACATTTTGTATTAAGATTCAAGGTGATACTTTATTATTAAAGAAATTACAGGTGTTTCATTAAACAATTTATTACAGATCATGAATGAACCATTTTTCATTTTCTTTCCCAGTTTCGCTGTTTTCACTGCAATAATTCAGGGTGTTACGCAGATTTCAGCCACACGATGGAGCCCTTTGTCCATCTCTTTCCCAGTATGGTCCCAGGGGACTAGTGGGCCTCTCCCTTTATCAACCGGCTCAGTCTGCAGAAGTCCTCTCCTCCATAGAGATTAAAACGACGCATCTGCTGCGTGATTGCTGCTTTAATCCAGACTGTTTGCTCCGTGTCAAAGGCAGACGCAGGCCTGATGAGTGGGATCATTCTATTGCACCCAAAATAAATAAATAAATAAAATAAATCTGCCTTCTGCATTCAGGCTTTTAGAAAACTGCTGCATTGATGTGCTTTGTGATCATGTGGAAACCTTTTCTAGCACAGCAGTTATTTAGAACTAAGCCTAATTCACATGAGATATAAAACAGATGTCTTTGTTTTTGCATCACCTTGCAACCAGGCTTAATTCTTTCTTTTCCTCCCTCCTCACCTCCTCAGTTACAACACCCCCCCCCCCCCCCCCGGATTTATAAGATGTTCAGAGTTACAGTAAAAAAAAAAAAAAAAAAAAACAAGCAGTGGAAACCCATGAGTCACCACTCACTGAAAAAACTGACACTCACCCCTACTTATGTTTATTTGTGTGCGCAGACTGATCATTGACCTAATTGGTAGAATTTCCCCATGTATTTGTGTGTGTGTGTGTGTGTGTGTGTGTGTGTGTGTGTGTGTGTGTGTGTGTGTGTGTGTGTGTGTGTGCCTGCTGCATCATATGTGTAAAGGATAATTATCTAATTAGGACTTGGCAGAGGGGTAGCCCCACTGTTGCCTCAGGAGAAAGAGTTTTCATCCTGTTTGCGTTGTATGACCTGGCTGGAAGACCTCTGCCTGTCGCAACACATCTCTGTCTCTGCCAGAGTCACTCCACACCGATGCCCACATCCTCTGTCAACGTCACACCGTTGTCATAGCAACCATGCTGAGCACAGCATCCCTAAGCAGATGACAGGGTGAAGAAGGAAGTGAGATTTTGTGTGAATGAAGACACCAGAGAATGCAGACATCATGTAATTATTAAAAGTATTTATTGGTATAAAAGTTGATATATAGACAGACCAAATTATTTGGACTTTTTCCCCCCAATATCTGGACACCTTGTCTCAGACTGGAGCGGTGCAGCTCTACCACAGACTCCCATTTGCTTTGCAATGCAGATGTTTTATCTCCAAACAAGCTTTGAAGAGCTTCTGCTGTGCGGTTGCTAATGCTAACGGTTAGCTTCTGCTAGTCAAGAGGTTCTCTGCTGTTTGCTGGACGCTAAACCAACAACAGCTTTCTCCGTCGCGAGTCAAGATGGGTGAGTCCATGAATGTTAGGTGACAGTGTGACGCAGCTCTGTCAGGCTTTTCAAATCCTAGAGTTTCATTGTCTATTTTCTATCAGAAGCTAATGCAGCAGATAGGCGTAGAAGACTATTTTCATGTTCAGCCTGCATGCTAAACTCAGAGTGATCAATAATTTCTAAAAATAATAAGTTTCTCAGTGAAGGACTTGTTATGGGATTAAAATACTTATTCACAGCAGTATACAACGTTTTGATTCCATTACAGTTACTTAGTGTGTTTCTGTCTAAACAATGAAGTGTGTTGCTGGATGATAATCCATAAGAATATTACCCTTAAACAACCTTAAAGACACAAACATGTGCTACGACAAATACAACAATAATAATCAGTTTTCAGTTCACATTTTTATTAGGAAAATCATTTTGCAGTTTTGATTACTGTTGTCTCTCTATGTATATATTTATATATGCTAGTTTCCATTATTCAGAGGATGCATTAGCACAGTATATCTTAATAGGAAGACTATTGCTAGATTAAATATCTATACACTATAATTAGTTAATAAAAAAAATAAATCCCAACAGAGAAATACTTCAACAATCCAGAGATCCAATTACAAAAAACAATAATTGCTAAAAAGAAATTCTGCAAAAACCAAAGCCATAAGTGCTGAAGGAGTGTTTCCTTTGAAAAGTACAAAGATGATTCACAGTTTGTGTCCTTGTTCTCATGCTGGCTGGAACACCAAAAGGGACCATGCAGGAATGAAAGGCCAGAGCCATTGAACTGTCCCAAACTATACGATCCAGTCTGTATGGCACTACGTAACACCCCCCCCCCCCCCCCCCCCCCATCTGCAACGGTCTGCAAGAATCTGAGATCATGGTGAGGGGTTAGCCAGAGAGGTGAGCAAGGTCAGTAAGAGAGGTTTTATTCTTCACATCCTCTGTGCAGGATTTCAACCTGCAGTTTATCGGTAAAAACAAGCCAGATAAACTGGGAAAAGTCTACTTTTCTTTTCTGTTACAGCTCTGCTGATTCCTTCTTGTGTCACTTTTACGTGTTTAAAGATTTCCTATCCTGTTAAGTGCAAAAACACATTTTCATCATTGTCCATCTGCAGTTTAAGGCTCCACCAAAAACACAAGCAGTACATATTATGTTAGCTACCTGGTGGTAATCTTCACCTCTTCCTGTATGACAATCTACGCGCCACCGATAAGAACATCTATGGAGACCCAAACTGTTCAATTAGTTAATTTTCATAAAATAATCATAAAATTCACATTAAGGCTATAAATACTGCAAACATTCAAATGTAAATTTAAAAAATTTATTAAAATGTTGCTTTTTCCTTAAGATTTTTGTGTTCAAAAGTATATTTATTATCAACAATTAAACATGTTGGATCACTATGGAATATGGGATCCAGAAAATCTATTTAAAGTATTTAAGTTTAATAAGTGCATCAGTATTTTGCCAAATTATTATAAATTTTACATGCTTACTTATCTGATATTGTCGTTTACAGTCTAATATAACATTTTAGGTCTCCACAGAGTTTACCTTTTAAAACTGGATGGATGCTTCTCTTACTGGAAAACAAAAAAGAACCACAAAACATTTTTATAAACAAACAAAAAACCTTCTAATTTATTGTCTATTGACTGGATGCTTTGATTAAATGAGGAAAGTGCAGATGATTTCCTACCGAAGGACATTTAGTTGCCTCTCACATCTTTATATTCAATAATTTGACTATTATTTACAAATATCTACAATCAGATGTGAGCAGGGTTTGTTTTCTGTATGTTTGATGAGAAACATGAAAAATTTTAAAACAGAGTGTAAAAGAAGGTGAAGTTATCAGAAGACAGTGATGGTAAGTTAATATTGATAACACCATTCACCAGCAAAAACAAACAAGCAAAAAAAAAAAAAACAATAACAACAATGAAAAATACCAGAGAGTGAAGACTGCATGCAAACTAGTCTGTTTTGCTTCTGTTTAATAATTCTGGACTGAATATTTTACTTCAAACACAAAATTTTGAATTTTATGAAGATTCCATGAAAATTTATGTTGAATATTTTATATAAAAAGACCAAAACCACAAAACAACAGCAACAATAAAGTGGCATTTATGTAGTGAAATGATAACTACATAAATAATTAGGGATGCACCAATGCCGATGATGGTATCGGTATCTGGCTGATGCCAGTATTGGTAAAAGTTAACCGATTCAAATGCAGTTGCCTGAAAGTGGCTTCACTGCAACTTCTCATTTACTTGATATTTTTGTTTTGTGACAATTTCTGTTAATATACTTTTTTTCTACCTCAGTCTTTTCCTGTTGAAAGCAGAGAAGAAAATAAAACCTGTATTTCAATTCTTTGCATTTTTTTGTGTGGTAGAAGTATCTGTATCTGTAATCTGTATCGGCGAGTACTCAGATCCAATTATCTGTATCGTATCGGATTGGAAAAAAGTGGTATTGGTGCATCCCTATAAATAATGTAAACCACTACAAATTCCTGACACTAGCTGCAGAATATGATATTTTTGTGAATTTTGGTGATTTAATTAAGTGTATTATTTTATTTTAAATCAAGTTTACAACTTTAGGCTGCACGTTTTACTCCAAAATCCTGTTTTGAGCTTCATTTTTTAAATCTTTTTAATACATGATTCAGCTATAAGAATGAGTAAAACAGTCCCACAGCATGACGACACCTCCACCATGCTTTACTGTGAGTCATGTTTCCTTTCACCTTGTTTGCTTAACCTTAAAAGTGTGCCAATAATTAAAGCATTAGAACATTGAAGTGTTTTTTTGGCAATAATTCTAAAATGAGTTAAATTTATTGTTTCAGGAGAGTTAATAATCCAGACCAGGATTACTGTGTTTGTGTGCTTGTGTGCAAGACTCAGGATGACTCATGCAATACCTATAGGCATTCACCAGAAGATCCAGAAGAAAGCGTCAAGCGTGAGGTAAAACGACACACATGGATGTGCACAGTCTGTGAAAAAAGCTGCAAAAAGGTAGCTTCGTGTGCACACATGAGCTCACAATTGTTCACACATGCAACCAGAGAATATGCTCCAAAGACGAATGAGGTGAGACGAGCCGTGGGAGGATGGAGTTGTCCTGATTCCTGCCTGCTTTTAATCCATGGTGTCTACAGACATCCTCCATCATGCATCTCCTTACACATGCAAGCTCCACTGAATCTCAAGCTGTGGCTCATGTACTCCAATTTCATATTTTCACACTTGGGTCTATTAATAGCCTGGCTCCCTCCCTCGCTCTATCTTGTCGTCCTCACCGCTCTCGCCTGCCGCCTCTTTGTTTTTTTCCGTCTCCTGTATCATATTCCATGCAGGGACATGAACAATGACAGTCTCCTGTTAACGTCAGCAGAACAACAGATTGCACAAACATGCACACGCAATCTGGCATTTGCGTAAGGCAACCAGACATGTCAGGCTGATATTTATGCAGCATGTGCCAGTAGATTAAATCAGAGCAGAGCTGGGCCTGAAAATCACGATAGGTTTGTTTTTATCCTTTTTTCCAGATTTAATGCGTCAAAAGGCCATGCTTACTGTAGGTTTTACCCCATCTATCTGGCGTCAGAACAAAACAAGAGTGAAATCAGAAATTTGTCAAAAAATAAAAGATTAGTAGAGCATCCCAGGCATCCAACTTGTAAAGGGTGCAATGTACATTTTTGATTTTAAGAGTTAGAGCTGACATTAGTGCAAAGTACGACACAGCAATAACAACAAATTCATTCGGAAACAAAGAAAGTAACAACCATGGAAGGACCACTTTAGCTACATATTCACATTTTGCTATTATTGGAACAGATATGAAATGTGGATAAGACCCCCCCCCCCCAATAAAAAACAACGTATAATAAACTACGGAGACATTTACTGGTCACAAAGGATTTCAGTGGGTAACATCTTACTTGAAGCACTTAGAGACTGAACTGCGGTAACGACATATCTTATGGGGGGGGGGGGGGTGGGGGGGGGGAGATCATCTTCCACAATGCTTATGAATGAGGCCTCTTTGATTAATAAGCAAAGTCTTCAAGTAAAATGTCACCCTAAAGTGCCCGGTTGTTGATCCTGCTGGACATAGACAGACAGAGAGGGAGACAGACAGAAACAGCTGCTGCTCTTTTGGACGCGCAGTTAGTTGGGGTGGAGGGTGGGGATTAACATCGGGGTCTTTGGACTAAAAAGTACACAGGCAGATTATCCTCCATGTGAGTTGTTGTTAAAACCACCTGAGAAATGGAGAAAAGTGGACAAATGATCTGAAACCTCCTTGCCATCCTACAACCGAATTCCCCCCTCCCCCTGGTCACCCCCAACTCCAACCCTGACCCTCAAGGGGATTTTTGAAAACACAGCCAACCGGTCACATCACAATACCCTGTCATTCAGCAGAATCACAACTTCGTTGTGCCATGTAGTGAGTGCAGAAAAGGAACAAATAAGACATCAAGATGGAGAATCGCATAGAAACAATGACAGATAAACAAAAACAACATTAAAAAAATGCACAAATAGATATGTAGATAAAAAGTATTGTGCTTTCAGCTGTTCTGTGTAGAATATCAAGAGCTCCTGCATGAAAAATAACGCGTATATATATTTATTTATATATGTACTTTGGACTTACAGTAGAGCTATTTCGAGGCTCCAGGAGGATTTAATAATTAATTAATACATCATACAGAAAAAAGATATGAAATGTGTGTGTGTGTGTGTGTGTGTGTGTGTGTGTGTGTGTGTGTGTGTGTGTGTGTGTGTGTGTGTGTGTGTGTGTGAGTGAGAGAGGTAAAGTGCAATGTGAGGGCATTTAAGCTGTAGGTCTCCCTGCAGTTACTGTAGTCATGTGTGTTTTCTGGTTATAAGCACATGCATGCTTTGTGTGTGTGTGTGTGTGTGTGTGTGTGTGTGTGTGTGTGTGTGTGTGTGTGTGTGTGTGCTGCTGCAACCAAACAGCATACAGGATTATGGCGTGGGTTTGCTTCAAGTTCTTCTGTATGCTTTGAAATTAAGGAATTTTCTTTAACTTGTCATAATCATAAAAAACCTATTTAAGCAAAAGAACAATTTAAAAAATAAAGGCATAAAGAGAAACCTTCAGACGAAAAGTGCCAAAGCAAGCTGACAATTTTCACCTCAGATCCAACATCAGCTCTCTTCCCTTCTACCAGCTTGGCGATGATTATCCAAGTGTGGCGTCATCGTAAACAAGGCAGACATGTTATTCTATTCTAATGACAGTTCAGTTATTCTAAACTTGATGAATGTCTTAAAAGGATTGTTGCGTCATATCAGAGTGAGCACACTCTGCCTCTAAACACCTCCTCACCTCAGATGAGTTTTTCCTCAAAATGACAGCGTGATAAATGTAAAGAAGGGCCTTTATTTCATCCAAAAGCCTCTGACTGCAGCGTCACCACCTTCTTTTGACCAATATACTAGCCGGGGCAGAACATTTTTAACCCAGATGGAATATATTTACATCCTCCCCATGTTTATTTACAGCCGAGCCCTCCGTTGTGACTCTGGGACATGGCTGGGGGGCGTGTTTTCTGTTCATGCCATCAGTCTCAAACACTTGTCTTTCCTGGCATGACAAACTCAAAGAAATTCATCAAATAAGCAACTAAGTTGGTCAAATTTGTTACGCCTACATGTCTATCCTACAGTGAGGATGCAGAGGATGGTGGGACACTGAGGGGGAGGTCAGGTGTGAGGAGAGAAGGGCAGATGCTGAAGTGAGACGAGGTGTTATTGATCCAATGGGAGACTTTTTAGAAGTATCACTGCAGGCTTTGATCTGAGCTGCGGCCAAAGCTTCTAACTGCACAATTTTTTTGCTTTTGAATGCACAACCCAAATAAATGAGGGTGTGAATGACAGGATTCCTGTTGCTTTCCAGACATTTTTAAACAGATTGACACATTTGAATGTCTCTTCCATCTCTGCTACCCATCCCAATGTGTATTTCCTCCCCCATTCTTTCCTCCCCTCTCCTCCTCCTCTACCGGATCTACATCACGCTGCATTTGCCCTTCAGCCTCTCAGCACGGGACTGCTTCCCAGAGCGCTTGCCATCGATATTGAGACTCATGTTCCTCTTCTTGTCCAGGTTGAGGAGCTCCTGGAAAAGCTCTGTGACGTTGTGGTTGGTTTTGGCCGAGGTCTCCATGAAGGCGCACTTCCACTGGTTGGCCTGGGCCTCCCCGTCCTTGGTCTCTAACTCCCGATGGGTTTCGTCACTCTTGTTTCCAACGAGCATGATGGGGATGGACTCCACATTGCCCTTTATAGCCAGGATCTACAGAGGGTGGAAAAGACTTGCCGTCATCAATTATCATTTGTCCAAAAAACGCTATATACTGTATCCATTCAGCTTTTGGGATGAAAGACTAAACTACTAAGACATCTTGTCAGAAAAAAGCTCTAGAAGGTGGATTTTAGGACATTCTGATGGAAAATCACCATTTCGATTTGCAAATTACAAAACAAAGGTTCAAACTCTTAAGAACTGATTTCAATTTCCTCCATGTTCTCTGTGTTAAACCCCAAATGATGCTCATATGTTAATGTTTGATCATATTTTCAGACATGTCTGACTGATTTTAGTCATGAACACCACACATACCTGTTGGTAGATGGGTTTGAGCTCCTCCAGCGACTGCTTGCTTGTGATGGAGTAGACCAGGATGAAGGCGTGTCCCTTCGAAATGGACAAGCGCTGCATGGCTGGGAACTGGTGACTGCCTGTTGTGTCTGTGATCTGAAGGGTGCACACGCTCTTGTCGCAGCTGATCACCTGCCGATAGGTGTCCTCCACTGTGGGGATGTAGGTGTCCCTGAAAGTGCCTTTAACAAAGCGCAGAACCAGGGAGCTCTTGCCCACTCCTCCTGCCCCGAACACCACCACGCGGTAGTCGTTGCTCTGCTCTGGCATTCTGCCTCTTCAGGTCTCAGACAGCGTTACACCTGGAGATGGGATGACAGGAAGAGGAAAAATGAAATATGGTCATTTATTTCTAGACACTAAAAACAGCTTAGAAAGCAAGAAAATAACAGAAAACCCATTCTGCTAGGTTTCTAATTATTTTACAAGCCCACTTGGTCTGATTATGAGTCAGAGGACAAATTAGCGAGAAGGAGTCTGCTTGTTTCTCCTGACGCAGACAGTTTTTTGATCAATGCTCTTTACAGAGTTACAGTTCCTCAGGGTCAAACCTCAAAATATCCTGTTTCCTCATTTATCAAGAAAAGTAAACCTTGGAGGAGAAAAATGGTGCCCTTGGATCTCGGGAGAATTATGTCCACACCTTCATTCTGGGAAGACTCTGAAATGTGTGCAAAACAAGAAAGACCCACTTTGAAAACTGTTGTCCAAAACCAAAAAATATCAACTTTTAATATAAAAAAGTTTCCAGATTTAAATCTGTCAGTTTGTTATATTTACATTTGGTTTGGATTCCAGCAAAGAAGATAAACTTTTATATTGAAAATATTTTTTAATATTGTCTTATGGATTCAGCAAAAAATACTTATTATTTAAAGGTCAGAATCTTAGTTATTGCCTGTTGCCCCAAGGTGGTAATACATACATACATACATACATACATACATACATACATACATACATACAAGTGGGTTCAAGTCTTTAAAGGGGTCATATCATGGAAAATCCAGTTTTGGGAGCTTTTTTCGCATGCGATATTGCTATTTCCTCATGAAAAACAAAACCCAAACCTCTTTTCAGCTGCATTCATGCATTTTCCTGCTTCAGCTGCAAATTCTGAGTTTTACTAAGAAAATCCTGTAAAGTGCCAATGGAAACTAATCTTGTCATCAGACCCAGTTCCTCTTTAGCTAGCATCTGGCCTGAAACCTGTCTCCCCTGGCCAGCACAGGATATGTTGCTTAGGCAACTGGTGTCATGTAATAGAGTTGGTACTCCGGTGGTTAGAGTGCTAGACTGGAAACCCTTCCAGTTTTTTAAAGAGGGTATTTACATCTGTTGCCTCAAGCATTTTTGCTTATAGTGACGAGTAGCTTTGAATCGGATGTTGTTCCAACACAGCTGAAACATGCTCCTGCCACTTTCTGTTGAAAAAACCCTCCCTGGACTCCTCAGACCTGGCAAACTACAGGCCTATAGCTAAACTCCCATTTTATCTAAGATCCTGGAGAGGATAGTATTTGACCAGTTGAACGCATTTTTGGACAGGCATGGTGTACATGAAGTATTTCAATCTGGTTTTGAAACCCATCACAGTACAAAGACAGCACTCCTAAATGGCTACCGACTCTGGCAAATTTGTCATTCTTGTGCTCCTGGGTCTATCTGCTGCCTGTGACACATTCGATCATAGCATCTTAATTTCCAGGTTGGAGCAGTGGGTCGGAGTCAGAGGTACTGCTCTGGAATGGTTCAAATCTTCTCTGTCAGGTCGAAGCATGTCAGTTAATTTATGTCAGTTCTCCTCCTCTGTCACTTCAGTAAAATGCGGAGTCCCTCAAGGCTCCATCTTGGGCCCCCTGCTATTTTCCCTTTATGTGATGCTGCTCAGACAGATATTTCGTCTGCTATGCCGATGACACACAAATCTATTTTAAGGTGAAGAATCTCGATTCCTCTTCCATCTTGCCATTACTGGACTGCCTGAATGTTGTAAAATCCTGGCTGGCATATGACTTCCTGTGACTAAATGAGAACAAGACAGAGGTCATAATTTTTAGCCCCAGTATCTCCAGTGGTGGTGCCAATCTAGAACTTGGCACACTGGAAGTCTTCAGGAACTCTGTAGTGAAAGATCTGGGAGTATATTTAGACTCTCATCTTAACTTTGACAAACAGATGAGCAGTGTTGTTAAAAGGAGTTTTTATAAACTCCAGCTGTTCTCTGAAGTGAGATCTTTTTTATCGACTAATGACTTTAAGAAGTTGATCCACACATTCTTCACCTGTCAGTTGGACTATTGTAACTCTTTATACGCTGGTGTTAGCCATTCAGCCATACCACACTTACAGATAGTGCAGAATGCCGCTGCCAGCTTTTAACATTCACTGGAAGGCGAGATCATATCACCCCTGTCCTTGCTGCACTGCATTGGCTTCCTGTTCGTTTCAGAATTGATTTTAAGATCCTTTTACTGACATTCAAATTGTTGCATGGCCAGGGCCCACCTTACTTGAAGGTTTTATTGCAATCTCATGCTCCTCCAAGGCCATTACGATCTAAGAGTGCTTGTCTTCTGGTAACTCCAAGGACGCGATTAGCACACAGAGGTGATCATGCATTTTCAGCAGTGACTACCAGACTGTGAAACGCTTCCCCTTTTTATAAAACAAGCTTCCTCAGTTGATCATTTTAAGATTCTTTTAAAGTCTCATTTATATTCTCTAGTTCAGTGGTTCCCAAACTTATTTAGCCACGCACCCCCTTCTATGTCCCGACCATGTCGACGCCCCCCCCCCCCCCCCCCCCGGCCTCACATCATGGCATAGCTCTCTCTCTCTCTCTCTCTCTCTCTCTCTCTCTCTCTCTCTCTCTCTCTCTCTCTCTCTCTCTATATATATATATATATATATATATATATATACATATATATATATATATATATATACACATATATATATATATATATATATATCAGATGTCAAGCTAAACAGAGAGGGTTAAAAAAATTCCCCATCACTTTCATTTTTTAAATAGTAATTAATAAACATTCGATACCATTACAATTTCCTTTGATTTAATTTTAAATAAATATTTAGAGTGCCCAGGTAGCACATAAACAATGCAATTTAACGGTTTTCTTAAAGTAGGAACGTTTAACCTGTGCGGCCAGAGCGCTCTCCTTCCTTCTGCTCTGCGTAAACCTGAGCTGATCACCTACTTGTGTGTAATCAAATGTCAATAGGGGACAAGATATAGCCATGATGTTCACTTTTACCTCAGACCGACTCATTGCTGTTTTATGGTGTGGCTGAATCTGTGATCCGCTGTCATGCGGACCAGAATAACAAATGCTGCAGTAACGTGAGTTGTGGTCAGGTTCATGAGGAGTCACTGGCTGGAGTGGACCCGACTCATCCCAGAAGCTAATATCTTAATTTGACCTTGAATGAAAAATAACCTCTTAAAAGTTTTTATCACGGTGGAGGCAGCGTTCATTTCTGCCTTCAGTCTGACTGCGCGCCGGAGTTAAAGCAGCGTGTGCGCTTATTGAATCTGTGTGTGTGTGTGTGTGTGCGCGCGCACGCACGGCACAGCCGCTCCAGTCACCGCGTCTCGCGCTATTTAAACCAATGTTGTAAAATTCCTTCTGCCCAGCCCAGATGTGCTCACATGTGCACCCGTGAGCCGTGGTTCCGCTGGAACACGTCTGACCTCTGACAGACGTACTCTGAACTTCAGATCTTCAGCGCGCTGTCAATAGCCTGAATGGGAATCATTTCTTGTTATTTTGTTACATCCACAATGTTCTGTGTGTGAGGTTTACAATGTCAGAACACCTGCATGAGACAGCTGTTAATTACAATCTGCCAGAATGACTCACCACCTTCAGATTCTTCCAACACCGTTAAAAATGATCAAATACTAAACATATCGGCGTGCGCAGGCCAGAGTGCTGAAGCTCGGCGCATTGTTATTATGAAGCTAGGGCACATGTGGAGGACACGCGCACGTGCAAAAATATACTTGTTTTCAATTACATTTATTGTGCCCGCTTACTTTTTCTTAGGCCCACCCACAAATGAGTTTCTGGCTACGCTAATGGTGACATATGACAGACTTCTCTGAGCTCCGCAGCCATTACACTTTTCACCTCGCGCACCCCCTAGCGGCAGCTCGCACACCCCCAGGGGTGCGCGCACCACACTTTGGGAATCCCTGCTCTAGCTTTTACTTCTAAGTGATTTTACATTTTTACTGTTTTTATGTTTTATAGCATAATATTGTGTTGTTATATGTGCAGCGCTCTGGTCAATGAAAATTGTGTAAATGCACAATAAAGTTGAGTTGAGTTGGATGCCTTAACCCCTGCAGTACCATAGCCACTACAGCCCTTGACTCACCTAAGAGTAGGCACATTTTGTCAGAGTGGGCTTGGGCGAGTTTCACTTAAAGTGTTTTATTTTTGGATATTAAATCAGGCTGACAAAAATAATTCGTATTTTAGATAAATGATGTCTCAATAGTGCCAAAGGTAATATTTTATCATATTATGTGCCTACATTTGCCCTGTGTGTGTGCGCGTGTGTGTGTGTGTGTGTGTGTGTGTGTGTGTGTATGTGTGTGTGTGTGTGTGTGTGTGTGTGTGAGTATGTGTGTGTCAGTATGTGTGTGTACAGTATGAACACATAACAAGGGTTAAAAAAATAATTAATGTGAAAATTTAAATAATAATAATAATAATAATAATAATAATAGTTATAAAGATGTTTAGTAAGGTTTCACATTTTCCCTTTTGAACACTTTTTTCCTTTGTTGTGTTAAAATTCTTGAAACTTCCCGCAAAACTATTAAGATGAAAGATCATACTTGAGGAGATAAATTTTTAAACTAGCTTGTATGACAAAAGAATGGCAAACTACACATATTGAATAATAAAAATAATCACACTAGGTGTGTACCTCTATAGACACACACACACACACACACACACACACACACACACACACACACACACACACACACACACACACACACAAACAGAGTCTCTTGCTATTTCTGACTTTTTGTGTCTGAACTCAGCAGCTACATTATTTCTCTTCTGCACTTGAACTCTTCCTTCAAGGTGTCATAATCAGACACTCCTCCTGAGCCCTTCAGATGGAACTGTGCTGCTCTTCAGCTGTAATGAAACTCTGGATTGTCGTCAATAATATGTGGAATAAGTGGATTTCTGTCATGCTGGCACAGCAGGAACCAGCTATTGAGGGCAGGGCATTTGTAATTGCATTTTCAGATTGT